ATTATTCAGTGTTTATCAGCTATGGATGTAAAAATTCTCAGTCTTGATTTTGTTGTTGGATTGCTGCAAATCCTACCTGCATTTTCTGCCCATTCATGTTTCATATTTGGTTGAGAATTTCATTTTTCTTCTTCTTGTGTACTTTCTTCCTGCATGTTTCCTAACACGTGCATTTTTTTTACTAATTTTACCTAATGTACCTATTTATTTACGTTTCTTACCTAATGTTCATATTCCTGCCATGGGATAAAATATTTTAGCTGTTCTTATTTTAAAGGATGAAGTAAGTTTTGTACTTTGTTTATTTCTCTGAAATGCCCTGTAAGCCTGGCAGAAGTGTGAATTCTCAAGGTGTGGTGCACCAGTCCCTGCAGTGAGGTATGAGAGGTGTAAACATACTGCTGTAGTTGAGATTGCCAGATCCAATGAATTTCTTTTCCATCTTCATTAGCAACTAAGGAGCAAACATATTCAATGTATAACTGAGAAGCAAAGGTTGTAAAGCACCACAATGTTTTCCTGATTTTTTTGTTTTTAACTTTTAATTTCCCCTGACTATTTCTTTCCTATTATTTTTCCTAGTGTAGTTGAACAGGTTCCATTTCAAATGATTTTACACAAAGTGCTTCAGTGCCCTGGGTCTGTTTTCAGTGTTTTCTTTGTTTGTATAAGCAAGCTAAAGTTAGAACTGACCAACACAAGAGTACCACATGGTGACAATAGATTGAAAACAGGAAATTTGGCCATTTGTGTATTCTGAATAGATTATCAGGATGATGGCTGTTGGAGTGGAAACTTCCACTGAGACTGTTTTCCCCTCATTTTCCTCTGTTAAAAAAAAATAAAAGAAGAAGAGATGGTGCTTTCTGGAAAAAAAGTCTTCAGAATTGCCAGAACACTTTTTCTAGTTTGTATTCTTTTCTTTTCTTTGTACTTGTATAAAGGTGCCTGCCTAATATTTCCCACACTTCAAACTTTTCCCAAAAAAGATTCTGAAATAGGAGTTAAGAAATGTATCTGCTATTAAATGCCTCATGATAACATACATGTTTAATATTTCATCATCTAGGATCAGTCCAGCAACAGCTCTCAGTGTAGCCCTAACTAGGTAATGAAATCCCTGAATAGTGATTGCATAGAGCCAAAGAATAGGACTGCCCATATCATTTTCATTGTTCGGACATTGGAGGCACAGATGCATAATGTATGGCTAACTGTGCGATTCTGGAAGTTGTAGTCCAAACTCCAAATGTTTCTCATCTGGGATGGAGGGAAAGCATCCGGTGCAGCCTCCTACCTGTGATATGGAATCCTGTACAATCAGATGTATTCCATGCACATGGTAGGAAGTGGGGCCTGAATGGTGCGATGGAGCAAAGGGGACTTATGTCATACCTTTATTGAGACAGCTGGTGGGAAGTAATATAGCAAATTCAAGATGATGTTTAAACAAAAACACCATCTTGTGGGGGTGCTCTGAATTTTACAATGACATAGCTACTTTAACGGACAAAAATAAGATAAATAAGACAAAACCTCTAGTTCTTAAATTTTTAAGAAATGAACACAAAGCTGCAACTATACATACATTTACTTTGCAAGTAACCCTCATTGGACTCATTGACAGTCATCTCTGAGAAAGTATGTGTGAGATTGTATTATAGGGCTGCAAGTTTATTCATATTTTCTTGGGAGCGAGGTCTGTTTAATACAGTGGCCCTTACTTCTAAGTAAACATGTAGAATTGGACTGGTTTTTTTTAAAAAAATGTTTTCGATGATATCTGCAGCATCCCAGTTTCTACCGTTTGGCCTGATGGTATGGTGTCCCAACAATGGCAGCATCAATGAGGTTGGGTTTGTTTTCCTGTTTCAGTAAAAACTACTGAAAAGTAAGGTTGGACTCATTTATCAGCTTTCCTTTCTCCCAAGTTTTATTGTTTTATAACAACTTCTTTCTGTTACGTTTATGAAAAAATGTTCTGCACATAGCCCTGGAAAAAACCCGATAGTGTGCTTGCTAAAAAGTCAACACTTGCTTATTATGGTAGACTCTCTGTAGGGAAGACCAGTTTTACCTTTTTTTTAAGTAGGTTCTTCTAAGCAAGTGCATTAGGTGTCCCACCCATAAAATGAAACAAAAGGACTTGAGTGTGACTGAATCAAAGAATTCTCCCTCCCTGATTTATTTTCATATGCAAACTAAAAATTGCAGGTTCGGAAAATAGTTGCCAAAACGTCACTCCTTGGTATACAGTATGGTCTTCTAAAATGCTTCTTAGTAAGGCAGTGTTCAGCTTCCACCAGGCAGCCAATGCTGAAACATTAAAAATAGAACAGGCTTCAAGAATCCCAGATATTTTCAGATAACAAAGAGTGATTTATGTGGGCTCCCCTTTCAGTTTGACAAAACATAGAAGGCCCTTTGTACTATGATTAGCACGCGTGCTGATGTCAGTTCTCTTGTCTAGCTCCAAGCTTTATTCTGCTCCTAAATTGTGCTTTTGTGCTATAATCCAGAGAACCTTTGTTTCTGCCTTATTAGTGTGTAATTTATGGAATTGCTTTTGTTTTTGAAGATAGTCTGTGCCAGTTTCAGTGAGAGTGAGTCATTATGCAACTGAAATAAACATTCTCATTTTCCCTATGTGGGGAAGATAAGAGGGCAGGAGGCATAGAAGCAGGTGTTAGTCTAAAGTTTCAAACATTTAGTATTTTGTGACACACGGGACTATGAAGCAAGTTCTGTTTAGATAATCGGTTTATGAAATTGGCTACAGTGAGAGTAGTATTTCACTCATCGTGTTGAATGAAGTTTGTGTTAGCAGTGAAATAGATGGTTTCAGCCCCATGAATGTGTGAGAACGGGAAATTCCACACTTGTATTTAGTGTGCTAGCCACCTTTTACATGAAATGCAACATCATTTTTGTTTGGAATTACAGTCTTTGTTGATTTTTCCTTCCCTGACCAGAGTTTACCCTATTTGAAAGCTTTTAGTATGAGGTTGGAGGGGCCTATGGTTCTCCAGATATTGTTGGATGAAAACACCCATCTCCTGACTGGGAACCATCCTGAATGGAAATGATGAGAGTTGGGTTGAACAGCGTCTGGTAATGAAAGAACATAGGAGAAATTGTGCCTTTTTTAAAGCAAGTTGTTTGTCCTTTGGAGGAATGATTTGCTAATTTCATGGGCTGAGAGGCTTAGACATCTTAAATGTATAGCACATCCCTGCATTTATGACCTAATTGTTCATGGATGATAGCTACAAAGCAAGCTGACATAAGGCAAACCCTTACGTCCAGTAGGCACCATATTATAAATTAGGGATTTGGCATGCTACAGAAATGGCCCAGTTCACATGAAAATAAAAGGGAAAAATGATTTTGTCCCCCCCTTCCCGATTTAACACTCTGTGCATCACATTTCCACTTCTCA